GAAGCTCATATAGGACTTCTTGACAATGAAGTTACAGACTCCTTAGCCAAAGAAAACGTTACAACTGGAGAGCATATCAACCACAATTTAGGTGCTCAACAGTATTTAATAATATTTCAGATTACTATTAAGGCAAAATGGGAATTCATTGAAAAAACTATTGCTCTAGTAACCTCACATGATACATACTATTACATCCAAGTATTCTGACATATTTGTGACAACAAGATTATGATTTTACAAGAAATGATGAGAACCGTTTGTAGGTTGCAATTCGGACATACAAGCTTCCCTCAACACTTATATAAAATCAGTGTAGTCAACAGCGAACTTTGTGAAACTTGCAATGTGGTTTGCGACTAAGATCACATTTTTTATGATTGTAGTAAATTTGAAATACAAAGACAGACACTTATAAATAGTTTATTATTGCAAAATTATACTCCCCTTTTAATCTACTTTATTATTTGATATTACATATTATTTGTGTACAAGGTATATAAAATTATTCTTAAGTTTATTAAAATGTGTAACTAAAAACTTTAGTGTAGGTGTTAAGCTTTGTTACACCGCCAAATATTTTACCTTTCTACCTATACTTTCCGTGGTCTACACTGTCTGTCTGTGAGTCACCTTGAATGACCCCTAGGTGCGAAAATTAATCCTAGTTCCTCTCCCATGGTAGATCTTCTTTTCGAGAATCGTAGTGTATTTAGTTTAGTTAGAATAGGTTAATTTATGTGAACGTTACTACACATTTGCTGACTGATGGCTGGATGGGCACTTAGCCCGATTGTCAAGAAAAAAAAACCTTTTTTTTTGTTTTTTTGGTAGGCTACATTTTTGTTAAAAATATGTTGTTGCTGAAATACTTAATTTTTTAGTTATTTGTGAAAAAACTGTCTAAAAGGGTATTTTTTTATTAATAAACATATTCACTATGTAACACAAAACATATAAAGTTGGTGAAAAAACCCTATTAAACAAAATTTGCTTACAATTGTTTAATTTATCCATTTTCGCACTTATGTTTTTTTACCCAGAGAAGGGATAGCTTTCACCACCAAGTAAAAACAATCCTGGACTCAAGTCTAAAAGTGAAGTAGGTCGTGACGAGAAAAACTCTTCAAAAAGGTTATTTACTGGCATAACACTATAGACTCCAAAAATAAATCTACTTACGAAAGTCCAAAAAACAACTAAAATTATTATAGATTGCAAAAGATTGCTGATATTTGTGAAATATTTGGAGCTATAAACCATCAAGAGAAGGCAACAGATATAACTTAAAATTATCATTATCATCTGTGGCTCTATAACCGTAAGTGGGTCTTGGCCTGTTCAAGAATTAGTCTTCATTCCCCTCTATCTTTCGCCCTGACTTTCCAATTTCTGACCCCTAGATTCCCCAAGTCATCTTCGACTTGAGTTTTGAATCTAGATCTTAACTTGCCTCTCTTCCTGGTTCCTACTGGCTCTTGATAGAATTTCTGTCTTTGGGGGTCTCCAGTGTCCATTCTTTCATGGTGTCCTAGCCACCTTAGTCAATTAATTTTGAGGAATTACAATGAGGAAAATTAAACCCTTCTGCCTTCGAAAGCCTTTCATGCGTAGTGTTAGGCATCTAAAAATTAAAAAAAATATTTAAGATATTTTAAATTTTATTTTAACAACTAATATATTTTTAACTAGCGATTAGTTCTTGACCAGATATTAATCTTATTGATGTACACCATACCAATTGATATTACTCTGATTGCCAAAAATATTTAAAAAATAAAAAAATATATTCAAAAAATTTTATTGTTATTGTATTTTCTTTTCTAGAAAGAATCTGAAAATGCCAACATTTCTCAAGCTAACACTTTGGATAATGATCCAGACGACGTTCCTCCTATCCCTAAAAGAAACCCAAATATTCAATCCCAAAAACGTCGTGCTCTGAATCCGCCCGAATTGCAGGCAGGCAGCGAGCAGAAGTATGAGTACTGCTTTTTACTGCATTAAATACCGTATTGGTCAGAAAAGAAAAAAGAAAAGAAGAAGAATGAATGTGACTTATTTTGTAAAATGTTGGCAAAGCAAATAAGAGCGTATCCAATATTTGAAAGAGAAGAAAATAACGTATGAACTACATTTCATTATGTTGAGCAAACGTCGTCGGTACAACATAATGATACAGGGTATACCAAGTAATGTTTCTTCTCCTTTACAAGTTGGGTCCAGGCGACCTAGCTCCAGCAACAGTGCATCTGGATCACATAGACAGTCACCGAGTTATTTAAGTGACCCTTCATGTGCATTGGCAATCAAACAACCAACAATCTGAAGTAACTAAAGAATCAGATAGTAGAAGATATTATGAAAGATCTCTGGAAGTGTTATGAATAATTCACAGAAATATTAGCTTACTGTTGATTTTTTATATATTTTATATCCCAACTGTTAATTTTTTATAACAAATAAATAAATATTTAAGCATAAAAATGTCATTTACCCTCACTAAATCCTTTAACACGTCATTGAGCGCCAAACATACTTCATGGACGATAATGGATATAACTTGGCTTAAAATTTTAAATAGGTAATGTAAGCTTCTATATCTATCTCCAGTAGCTAAGTATCTTAATGTTACTGCCAGGCGAACTTTCACTGGAATTGCATCCTTCCAATAAGTATCCTTTTTAGCAACGATTGGAGATATCTTTTGTATAAGATATTCAAAATCACCGTAAGACATTCGGACAAAATTACTAAATTTTCCAGTTGGCTCCGAGTAAAGCTCAGCAAGTTGCTTTTCCATGCTATACCTTTAAAAAATATATGTAATGTACAAGTTATTACCTACCAATATAATTATATCATAAAAATGTAAATTAAAAATTTTATTAGTTGAATCTATAATCCACTTACTTTGTTCTGTTTTTATGTATATCCTAGCATCCACCACATACTTCTTTTCCATTTTTTTTTAATTTTATTTCGATGTACACTCAAATAATACTTAAACTAAGACGAGCTCCTCCTTTGAAATTCAGAGGTTCGATCACTTATTCATTGGTCTACCCCGTACACATCTCCATGCATCTCCAGATGCATACGTAGATGTCGTCCGCTGATGCGTCTGCCGATGTGTAGAGGAGCCATATGGCTCTTTCTAGCGCGATGTTAAACAATACTTGACTTTGCACTCAACTTTCGAAAGAGTTGCCTTTACCAATGTTATTAGATGCGACGGAATATCTAGTTCTGCTATTGCATTATATAGTGCGCTTCTGTCTACACTGTCATAAGCGCTTTTAAAATCTACGAAAAGGTGGTGGGTATCAATTCCATATTCATATGTCTTTTCTAGGTTTGTCTGAGAAGGAAAATTTGATCAAATGTTGACCTTTCTTTTCGGAATCCACATTGGTATTTACCTATTTAAGCCAACTTATAATTATAGCAATTTAATGAAGTAATCGTCTTAAGGTTCATGAAAACATAGCGACTCAGGGTGGGATACATAATACGAATGCCAGACATAACGATTGCTAAAACACTAACCAGAGGAGCACCTTTATGAAGAAGATTCATGGGTTAAACAAAAATTAGGTGGTTGAATAGAGTTGAGCTCTACTTAGGGTATTAAAAATCAGAAGATGGGCAGAAACCGAACATAATGGTGACGAATATTGGAGCAGACCAAGATGTACAAAGAATTGTCGATCCAAAGTTAACGATGAGTATAAAAAATTAAATTTTGTTTCAGTTCCAATGTATTAATTACAAAAATAAAAATATCAATAGTTTTCCCATAACTATCATTTTCTTTCTGTAATCTTTTAGCGTATTGGGTTTTGGCAAACGTCTAAATATTATATATTTATGCAATTGTCTATTATATTAATATGTAATGTCTAATAAACGGCATTCTTAAAAGTCGTATACAAATCCACGATGTAAAAAACTTTTTCACGAAAAGATTCTAATTAAATCAGCACTATTTGATTGACATCGAAGGTCAAGTTAGCGTATTCTTAATCATATTAAGATGATAGTAGGAGCCATATTGAAGTGTTTAGTATATCGCTACTTCAATACAAAAGGGCCACAAATCAAAAAAATCGAAAATAGCGTTTATTTAAAAAATCTAACGTTAAGCAGTCATATTTTGATATACCACTGAAACCCCTACATATTTTACGTTGTTTAATATCGAAATGACACTAGCGCCCTTTTTGCATTTTTATATTTGAGAGAACAAATATGGACAAAACCGCCAGTTTGTTAGTTGCGTCCTGACAGTCGAGGTGATCGCACGTTTTTTTTGTGTTAAACAGCCACATTTCAAAAAACCCTAGTCGTTGTTATCGTTTTTATAAACAAAAGTGCCACATTCCGAAGTACGTCCGTTTTGCCCAGAAGATTCACGTAAGTATATTATTATTTCTTAAACAAAAGGGATGTGTAATGAAATACGACCATTTAATACAAAATATTGGCATATATATATTTTTATTTCTTAATCAAAAAGGATGTATTACGGAATATGTTCATTTTGCTTATGATATTCTCGGAGCTGTTATATCATTTAAATTAAAAAAGGGCCATATAGTGTGATAGGTACGACTCTTTTGCATTTTTTATGACAGTAAAATGTTATTATAAAGTAAAATGCAGTTTTTTCATTTACTTGTATATTGTATTCATTGTGATAGTCTAACATCTTATTTTAATATAATTCAGAAGTTTGAATATCATATAACACAACGTGTTTATTTCCAATTTTAATTGAGAGCGTAAAAAATACCGTGTATCTTATTTTGTTTTGGACATTGTATGATATGAATATGTATTTTGCTACTCCGCAAATTACTTCATAATGTAAGTAACAAGCAGTCATTTAGGTACTTAAATTTATCGTACGTAAACAAAATATCCTTTTTGAATCGCTTCCCGTGGATATCAAGTTATTATTAATGGGACTGATTGTCTTTTATTTTAATTTTGTTTAGGCTTCGTAATACCATAGTGAAAAGTAATCACATTCTTATCTCGAAAAAGAAATTATGTATAACGATCACATCACAGCTGTATAGGGAAATAAATTACTTTTACTTTTAAGTAAAGTACATAATTTTTAATTGTAATTAATTTGTTCCCAGCTCTGATATCTGAAGTCTATATTTATGTATTTATATAAAACCAAAATATTTTACTTGTGCAATTCTAATAAAAAGAGAAATCTGATATTGTTAATTGTACATCAACAATTTATTTGTTGCAGAATTAGTAGAAGAGTGCATAGAATCCTCGACATGGTTGGGTGTAAAACCAGTAGGTACTAATAAACCTGAGAAAATTCAAGAAATCGGATTCAAGGAGCAAGCCAACACTTATAACACTCTGCCTAAATTAGTAAACTTGGAAATCCAACTACAAAATGTTGATCCACTACTTTACGATTCAACAAAACCATACATTAATGCCATACCTGGTAGCCAACACAATTTAAATCTTTTTAGTGACGATGGTACAAACTACCAAGCTAATACCCTAGACATCAGGCCAAAGGTAATAGTTCACGAAACTGAATATGACAGCGACTCTGCGTCTTCATCTTTAAGCAGCTCGTCTTCGTCTTCAAGTAGTTCGTCTTCGTTTTCAAGCAGCTCCAGGGCTGATTTCTCTTCAGACGACAGTGTTGAGGATCCCGACGGATTCTTTTCCAATCTTTAAGACGGATGTTCAAGTATAGAGTTACACAGATTCTTATAAACGGTTGATTTATTTTTATCGCGATTTCTTAATATTTCTAGTTGTTTATGCAACTAATACTCAATAAGTACAAATTATGACCAAAATGTGACAGTGTTTTTATTAGCTAGTTATAAATAATAATTGTACCGTGTAAAAATAATAGGTAATTTTTGAAGTGTCTTTGATAAGTTATCACTACCTATCTATGTAACTTGAGAGTAACTACATAGTTGTAATTTAAGATACAGACTTTTATTATATTTCCGAAACCAAGACTTATTTAGCTTTATAACTAACTTTTGTTTTTTTTTTGATAGCCTGACATTGTCATCTTTTTTTTGTAATAATTGTACTAAAATCTACCTAAAGTAATGACAAAAACATTGATTAAAATCTTTATTTCTTTGGTATGTGTCCTTTTATTTTCAATACTTATAATGATATCACAAATATTTTTTATACAAAAGAGACACATCTGCTAATATCTCTTTCAGGAAAATACTTACGTTGTATCTGAATACAATATCAAATACAATTTAAATTTACCTTTCTAACAATACTTAACTTGCATATAAATGATATAAAATAAAAGAGAAATTAACAAAAAATAAAGGCCAAAACTTTGCATAGCTCTCCTGTAAAAACTGTAATTTTGGTTTGTGGCTCTTTTGTATTGAAGTAGCGATATGTAAATACTGTTAAGTACTTTTATATTTATTATTTAATTTACATGAATATCGCAGTTTTTTAGATATGCAAAATTGTTTTCTTCAAGGCGAAATCTTTTGTCTAGATCTTACGTTTTACTAAAACTATTTTTATTAACTACTATTATTTAATAGTACTGTATTTAATTTTACTAACAAATACACGTGCAATTTAGAAACAGCAAAATGCATTTTACAATAAAACATAGTTATACAAAATAATATTTAAATTTCTTCATCAAACTCGGAATTTTCTTAATTATATAAGTATACACAACGCAGCAACACCAGCACCTGGATAGAGGAAAGTAACAAACACTAACATATTAAAAAAAAATCTATGGTTTAGAGGGAAAGTGAAGACAAAATGTGAAAGAAACGAAGAATAATTTGTTACGATACAAAACACAGCAATCACAACAGTCATGCAACGACTATAAACGAGACCAAATATTCTTTTCTTCAAAAAGGGAGACAAATCGGACACGGAAAATTGCAGAGGAAGTAATTTATGAAACACAACATTAAAATAAACAAAAACAGTGATAAGGTTAACAAATAAATATAACAAAGTTAGACCTAATTAATAAACTTAATGAAAATTATAATATTAGCAGAAGAACAAAAAGGTTTTAAACTTTGATGGTATACAAGGCAACTATCGAACACAGTAATTAATTAAATTTGCCCAAGTACTTTCGATCAATAGATCATCTTCAGTGGCATCTGAAATAAGCCAAGAAACGTTTTTTTATAAAAAAGGAAAATTAATTCACTTGGATAAAAAACTCCAAGTTTATGGTTGAAAAAAGTTTTTATGTGATAAGCTTTTATAGACTTACTTCATCAGTTGTGGCCTATCCAACGTGAGCAGAATGTCATACATGTAAATTTGGACATAACAATACAATACACAAAGACAAACAAACACTTTAAAATTTTTAAAAGGAGAAGCTACATGTTATATAGAAGCCGGAGACAGAATGGGCTCCCGGTCTGGCGGAAATATTGAGATGACATGTGACAAATGACAGCTTGTAAAGGGCAGTTATGTGATCTGCACCTTTCAAAATTCTATGAAACTAAGTATTGACCAAAGGTCCAACTGACACCACTATAGGAAATTAACTGATGAAATATAAAATTATATAGTATATTTTTTATGTAGATTGAATAATCCAAATCTCACACTCAAACCTGTCTATAATAATTAGGATGTTAGTTTGAGAGCAATTAAAGTTGACATAAAGTATGAATGTAAGAAAAGACTAAACAATATATTAGACAGTGGATGGTTGACTACAATAAAATGGTTTACCAAGCGCTATCAGTACTGTAAAAAAGGAAAAATCTGAATATGCAGTTAAATTACTAAAAGTTAAAATCAAAATTGAAAGCAAAATATATAAATGGGTTATAATCCAAGTAGTTCAGTTGAATCCACAGTCAATGGAAGAACTTTAAAATTAATATTGAAATGCTCAGTGCATGAAGTCTAAACAGTCGAGCTGGGTCCTCTACGAGGTGAAGCTGTAATAAAGTTTTTAAATATAGGAATAAATTTAGTACAATTTAAATTAATTTGAGTATTAAGACAGTGAGAGTTTTCATTTGTTTTCCTTGTAATTTCCAAATCTTCCAATAAATCCAACTCAAGATAGTTTTTCTTTCTACTAATGTCATGTAAGATAGACGAACCAGAATTGATGTTAAAATTGTGGTTGCTGGATACTAAGTGTTGACCAAAACTTGAAGAATTTGGTCTTTTCAAATGTTCAGAGACTATAGTGGATAACTTTCTGATGGTTCTACCTACATAAGAGGCATCACAATCATCACATTTTAATTTGTAAATACCACTTTTATCAAGTGTATTCATCCTATCTTTGGTATTGATTAAGAAGGAACTTAAAGTGTTATGTGATTTACAGGAAATTTTGATGTTATCAATTGTAGAAGTAAAAAGTTTAGATATTTTATTGGAAATGCTACTAATATAAGTGAAGGAGAAATTTATGATGTTATCTGAAGCATTAGGTTGAAAAAACTGTGATGAATATGCAAGCTTTTCTGCAATTATTAGTTTAGCTCTATTTAGAAGTTTGTATATAATGTTAGGATCATAGCCATTATTGAAAGCAATCTGCTTAAGAGTATTAAGTTCTGTATTGAAATTATCATCAGAAAGAGGAAATTTAAGTAACCGATGAATGTAACTGTTAAAAGCAGCTATTTTATGTTGAGTTGGGTGATTAGACGTTCCATGATATAACGTGATCTGTTTGGGTGGGTTTTCTATAAATGTTGTACTCTAAAGAATCTTCATTGCGGGAAATAGTCATATCCAAGAAGTTCAACTTATTGTCAGATTCTGGTTCCAGAGTAAAAGAGATGTTAGGATGGAGGTTATTGAGATCATCCAGAATCTGTAAAGCATCATCTTGGGTTCCCTGTATGAGAGCTATACAATCATCCACATATCTTGACCAAAAAACTATTTTGTTGTTGTTATTAACAAACTTTTGTTCTAAGCTGTCTAAGAAAATATCAGCTAGAAAAGGTGATAATGGAGATCCCATTGCTAAACAACCAACAACTTTTTTCAACCATAAACTTGGAGTTTTTTATCCAAGTGAATTAATTTTCCTTTTTTATAAAAAACGTTTCTTGGCTTATTTCAGATGCCCCTGAAGATGATCTATTGATCGAAAGTACTTGGGCAAAGTTTTAATTAATTACTGTGTTCGATAGTTGCCTTGTATACCATCAAAGTTTAATTATTCAAACATTCAACCTTACATTGAAAAAGGTTTTAGTTCGGGAGGATCATGCACCGACGCTAAATTTATAATGAGGCAAGTGCAAAAGTAAATCATTAAAATACAGCAATCCGGCAAATTTATGTTTCGTGGACCTTAAGAAGGCATTTTTCAGGGTCATATTTAAAGACGTTATCCACTTATTGTGTACAAGAGAGATACCTCTAGGAATAATCAAAACGATTGAAAATATCTACCATACCAACACACTAAAAATGAGATTTCCTAAGCCATACATCATATCTAATCTTATAGCAGTTTTATAAAATTTTGCTTTCAATGTCATTAGAATATTTCTGTCATACAACACACTACTAGACTCCCTCTTATTTAAAGCCACAGTTATCTTGTTTATAGTAGTAACCATGATACTATGAATAACAAGATAGGATCTTCCCGTAGCTGAAAATTGGTCGGGTTCGCGCATGCCGTCATTGGAGACTAGAATTTCAATTCTTGTTAAAGTTAAATGAGATTTGTATGCATTCTGTGATGAAATTACTAGACGAAAATAAGTTAAGAGGTTTAATAATTACAATAATCGTACACATAAGGATATCTCCAAACTATTCATTAAAGATTATTTATTGATATATACAAAAACTGACATTTCGAACGTGCAAGTCTCCAATGACGTCACAAAAACATGCGCAATATCTTATCTTATAGTCATAGTATCATGGTAGTAACTATATTTATAAATAAACATTCCAAATCCAAAGATTTAAAACTTTTTCCAGCATACTTCAATATTGGTGCTATGAACATAACCTGGCAACGAACTATATGTTTGTGCGACACAGTGTTGCCACTTTTTTTGTATAAAGTATTCTTCTTCTTCTCGTGCCACTCCTAGCGGAGATTGGAAATCATCATGACCACTGCGACTTTGTTAGCAGCGCGCCTAAAAAGTTCAATCGAACTACACCCGAATCATTCACGTAGATTACGAAGCCACATCTTCTTCCCACACTTCTTTTGCCCTTAATTTTGCCCTGCATGATGTTTCTTAAAAGTTCGTACTTTTCACCTCTCACAATGTGCCCCAAGTATTCCATCTTTCTAGTTTTTATCTCATTTAGAATTTCGCATCTTTTGTCTAAAGTTTGGAGTACTTGCGTGTTAGTGACGCGGTCCATCCATGATATTCTGAGAATGCGCCTATAGCACCACATCTCGAAAGCTTAGATGTTTTTTATGGTCAACTGTTTTATTGTCCAAGCCTCAACTCCATATAACAGGATAGAAAAGACATAACACCGCAGCATTCGTATTCGTAACTTTATATTGATATCACGATTGCAAAAGAGTTTGCGCATTGTATTAAAGACTGATCTAGCGATTTCTATTCTACATCTAATCTCTTTTGTTTGATCAGTATCGTCTGTGATCCAAGCACCTAGATATTTATAACAGGGCACACGCTCAATCGTTGTATTGTCTATTACAAGAT